AAGTTAACGAATATGAACATATCAATATAGATTCATCCCTTTCGATTCTTAAACGAAAGCAAATCATTATTTGGATTGAATCTTGCAAAAACATATAATGAAATTAATCATTTCCTGAAATCAAAGCATAATTAAAGAAATCAAAAATGAGGAAAAAAAGGAAATGCAAATGATGCGATCGGTCGAGACAAGTGTTTGACACTTTCTCTTAAGATGAATTTCACCGGCATCGGTGCTAACTGTTCTTCGGCAATCATCTCCCAAGATACAACGACTACGTCAAGTCATAGGAGGACTCCAAGTGGCTTAGACCAATGAACTCGAACGAAATTCTCTCTCTACCATAACCATGACTTTGATGCAAATGTTTTATACAAAACCAAAGTGTAACATGAAATGGAATGATATGGAATTATGAATTATGTTTCTTTTTGTTGATAAAATCCAAACACATGGGGTCTATATATATAGTAGTTGGAAAGGTATGCCAAGGACACAATCATACCAAGAGACACATCTCTTGAAATTTATTTGTATACATTAAGAGACATAATTATTGAAAATTAAGCATATCCATACCAAGAATTATGATCCTTCGTATGAAAAAACACATTCATATATTTCTAGAATATTCCACAATATTCTACAAAATTTTCCAACAATTTCAAGTATTAAGCGGTTTACATTTGACTTAATTTCTCATTCACCAAATTAAGAATTTCACTTAAATAATCATATAAAATTGGTCACGACCGATTTATACAAAATTCCAACAGGAATCGCTTATTTGTTTGCTAGAAAATATAATTACGAAACTTTGATATTATTTTAAGAAAAAGCCTCGCCTTTTTACTCAAATTCAACTTCCACTACCATCTAACAAACCTTCTAGCTTCGAAAAAAAATAATACATAGGAGTTCCTAATCAAATCAAGCATAACTCTTAATCATCATAAAGTCTAATTGCCAAAATATGCATAACTCCTAAATCTAATTATAGCCCGGTTTAGTTCAGCTAAAAAAAATAAATTAAAATCTAATTCAAAATCAACAACTAATTTTAACCACATATTTCAATGAATCCACATTTTTTTTCCATCTAAACCAAATAGGGCTAAAAGTTAAACATCGTTCATAATTACAATATAATACCCCTAATTAATTAAAATAAAATAGTTGAAAAAAATCACTTAATTGCACATGATTTCTACAACAAAAAGGAATGATGAAGATCATTATTTGGTTAATATTTGAAGGGAAGAAACAAAGTTGTTGATTCCAATGTTGGTTAAGCCTGCCTCATTGGCAGACAAACAGCCTATTTGTCCCACCATTTGTTGAGCAAAACAAATATTGGTAGCATTTCATAGTCAATTATTGTTTTGGTTGGTAGCCACTAACTCTTAAATCAATTCTCCAATGAATTTTGTCCTATTACGTATGTATACTCAATTTTAATTTTTATCCCACTTCTCTTTTTCTCTCATAAGCATTATCTAATTTTTCTTATTGATTGTGACTTGAAATTAATAAAAGCCAAGCAATGGAGACATGAAAACGAAGTTTGAGGCCTTAGCACATGCACTCATTGGCGGACCTATATAATAAGGTCCTGGTTTTTTATTTTATTTTTTGGTGGATTTTAGAGCCAAATATCATATTACCTATATATGGTCCTGGTGGGTCACAACTTTCAAGAATTTTTTTATTTTTATTTTTATTTTTTTATTTTATTATTAATTTTTTTTTTTTTGGGTTTTAGAGCCAAAAATCAGATTTGGACAGCAACAATAGCTTTTTCATTGGAATAGAATTACAGCGATGATCGAAGGATTGAGAGAGTGAGAGTTGAGATTTTTTAATCATATGCGATATTTAATTTGAAAATTCTTCGAAAATTATTATTTTTTATTATTATTTTTTTTTTGTGGGTTTTAGAGCCAAATATCAGATTACCTATATATGGTCCTGGTGGGTCACAACTTTCAAGAATTTTTTTATTTTATTTTATTATTATTATTTTTTTTTTTTGGGTTTTAAAGCCAAAAATCAAATTTGGACAGCAACGATGGCTTTTTCATTGGAATAGAATTACAGCGATGATCGAACAATTGAAAGAGTGAGAGTTGAGATTATTTAATCATATGCGATATTTAATTTGAAAATTCTTCGAAAATTATTATTTTTTATTATTATTATTTTTTTGTGGGTTTTAGAGTCAAATATCAGATTACCTATATATGGTCCTGGTGAGTCACAACTTTCAAGAATTTTTTTTTATTTTTTTTTTTTGGATTTTAGAGCCAAAAATCAGATTTGGACAACAACGATAGCTTTTTCATTAGAATAGAATTACAGCGATGATCGAACAATTGAGAAAGTGAGAGTTGAGATTATTTAGTCATCTACGATATTTAAGTTCAAAATTATTTGGAAATTATTATTTATCATATATTTGAGATTATTTGGAATTCTTTGAGAATTATTATTTTACATATATATGATATTTGTGAATTTATGACAATGATCACTTGTATGTGTTCATGTAGTATACATAATTTTTTTATGACTTTTTAATAAGTTTGATCGTACCCCACTAATACCAAATGACTGCGTCCGCCACTGCATGCACTTCAATTGAAAGTCATTTGAATTTGTTTATTTCTAATAAAATCAATGTGGAAATCTTAATTTGTCAAAAGATGTAGAACTGTAAAAAATGTTAATATCTGTCTGACACTTCTTTTAGAAGAGATATATTTCACATTGATCAACTTGAATTACTAGTCTTGAAAATTTTCAAATTCTTCGCATAGAAATTTGTAATAAAATCTCTCTAGTTTTTCCACTCGAGAGATTGTTATATATCATGTTTTCTATTTGATATTTTTTTTGATTATTTTGTTTACAAATAGACATCATGACCCTTCAATAAGCCAAATTAATGAACAGGAAAATCAAATTCAAACATTTGACTTTATAGAATTAAAATCTACTATCCCAATTTAGTTGCCCTATTATTTAGGGCCTGTTTGTTTTGGCCGATTTTCCATGAAAAATTTCACCTTTTGGCATGTTTAATGACAATAATTTTCTTGGCAATTTCTTTTCCTTCCCCACCCATGGGAATTGGTTTTTCAGGCGGGTATTTTTTTTTTTTCCATTTTTTTCTTTGGCAATTGGAACAAGTTTTATCTCCATTTGTAACAAATTTTGTCCATTTATACAATTTTCATGAAAAACAAAACTAAACGAATGCCAAAAGATAGAAAATTTCAACATTTTTCAAATGGAAAATTATACCAATCAAACACATTAATTGACAATTCTTAAAAAACAAGTTCTAATCAATTCAATTTCCTGAAATTCTTCTTTTCTTTTTTTCACCCAAATTTCATTCTTGCAATTAAATGAACCCTTAGATACCTTTCATATTACAATTTTGATGCTTTGATATCAAATGAAAACATCATGTCTCATCTTGATTTTTCAAAAACAAAAAGTGGTGCTAACCCTCCACGCCATCCCACCTTACCCTTGCAAAAGTTTAGAGTGGGAATTAAGATTGCCAGCTTCGAGTGAGCAAAATGATGATGTTAGAAGTAGTCAATCTTGATAGAAGAATTCAAATTCATTTTGTCTATGGTTTTTTTTTTTTTTTTTTAAAATGACGGGAGAACTCGCAGTCGTTATCCTTCGAGTGTGTACTAGGTAAACCGTTAGCCTGACGCAATAGCCTGCAAATCACGTCAACCAGGTAAATCGCACTAGACAAGCCCAGTGCGACAGGCTCGATCGAGAAGGGTTGGTAGAGGGAATCGAACTCGTAACCAAAGGTCTCCGCGCTCACCTAGTCCACCAACTCGACCACCCCATAAGGGGCCATTTTGTCTATGTTCCAATCGTTCCATGTTGTGTCTGTTATGGGTACTTCCACTAAATGACAAAAAAATTCTGGGGCCATCCAATTAGTGTTCTGTGCTTTAAGGAGAGGGAGGGGGAGAGAGAAACTAGTATATCAGGAGATAATATTGCAATGCATAAAAAAAAAATCAATCATGCTACACATTTAGGTTTAACTCTAGGCTCAAATTCAGGTGGGACACGTGTGGACGTACGATTGGACAATTTGAAAAATTAAAACAAAAACACCCAATTATTTTCTAATACATCATTTTGTCTCTTCACTCTCCTATTTTTAAGCCTGGTTAAATGGTTTTATTCTAAAAAATCAGGTGACAAATATTTTAATCTTGTATATATGTCGTCATGTATGTCATGTATTGTCATCTTCAAATGTCAAAACTTTCATGTCATAACAATTTGTCTATGCCTATCCCTAAAATTTATGTCTAAAGCTTTGGACTCACCAATCTTGTGTAAACTAACACACAATGCAATATAGTACTCCTTATCTCTTGTACTGAACTGCCCCATATTTAAAGATCCAAAATTGTTTATTATATGTCCCATAATTTTTTCTTTTGGGCCTCATTCAATTTTTGCCATGTCCAAATTGCTTGGAGAGTTTCTCCAAGAGCAACAAGAACCATTTGCCTTGGAGATCTACCTTCTTGAAAGTGGCTATCTCAAAAGTACTAGTCTTAATTCAGAATCCAATTTCAGTCGTGGCTCGACCAGTTCTTCCAAAATTATTAACAGATCAGCTAGCAATGGCCTAAAGAGGAGAAAATATGGTATCCCGAGTTGTTCAAAGCTCGTGAAAGGTGTATTCACCCGGCTCGTGCCCAGTGACAAGAAATATAGAAGTGGAGATCAAAAAAAGATTGCTGCAGAAATTAGCAGTTGTGAAGAAGATGACAAATTTTCCACAGCAAGCAGCACAGCTGCAGTCAATTCTTGCTCAGAAAGTGATGCAAATGATGTATATTTTTCAAAAGCAGATGCTGGACAAAAGGGCAATCATCTTTCTATAAAAGAGGTAGAATTGATTATGGCTTAATGATCCTTCAGAACAAAAGAAAAAAAATATGAAACTTGTGGTTTTACTGATTCAGATTTGTTATGCATGAAGCTAACAGGTAGCAGCAGACACAAAATTGAAATGGAGAGCTGTGGAAGAAAATAAGCAACACAGCCCTGTATCAGTGCTAGAAGAAACAGAAACTGAATCCGATGATGGTTCACCACTTCATTATAGTAAGTTCAATTATCATTTCTAAATGTTTTGCTAGCCAAAAAAGCGAGTGTTTTTCTTTTCTATTTTTTCTTTTTTCTTTTTTTTTTTTTAAATCTTGATGAACAAACCTTCCAGTGGCCTAGCCCTCTTTCTCAACTCGAGTGTCTAATTTCCTGACGGTAGTAATAGTATCTTGTACCTAAACTGGTGGCTCGCATTTTTAATTAATGGGGAAGAGAACGAAACATGCCACTGAAAGAATTTACTAGGAAAAAAAACCCAGATTTCCAAAAGGGACCGTATTATTGTGTGCTTAATAGTTTGGTAGCGGAATTACTACAGAATGTTCCACTTAATCAAATTTTCTCAATATAATAGGTTACCTTTTGCCTTTGTTTAACAGAACAATACAATAATGGGGAATCCTCAACCTCATTTTCTCCATGTAAAGTCATGAAACCAACAGATTATAGTGTCCAAGAACATCAAAAGCTTATTGGGTCGAATTCTTCGTATCAATACATGAAGAACAAAAGGGCCTTTCAAGAAACAAAGCAACTTCTGTTTGACTGTGTGAGGGAGGTGGTAGAAAACCACAGAAAAAATGATAAAAGAGGAGAAAATCTTAAGAAAATATTGGGACCTGAGGAACTTTGGAAGATTGTTTGTGAAAATGTATGGTTATGGAGCCAAGATTCAATTAATGAAGCTAATATAATTGATTTGCTGCATTATGATTTCTTGGCATCTACCCAAGAATGGGGTGATTATGAGCAGCAGAAAAAAGATATTTCTATGGAGGTTGGAGATGCAATTTTGGACCAGGTTCTGAATGAGACTATGGTAAATTTTGTAACATGAAAGTATATTTCTTATAGTTGTAATTAATTAATATTCAACTATTTATATAGTTGTATCATTATGTCTTGGCTCTTGTTATCGAGTTTCTCATCCCTTAGTCTGTTTACTTAATCCAAAAATAGGATATTGACAAACCTTTGCCTGTCCAATTTGGTTTGACCAATTTTTAACAAATTATTTGAGTAGGTCTTGGTAGTTAGACGAAATGGTAAAATGTATTCTACTCCTGGAGTAGATCAACATAATATATTTATTTTCTCAAAAACAATTTCGAGTGAATCAAAAATAAAGGTTAAAAATGCTATTCGAAGTTGAAATAAATTGGAAATAAAAAATTGGTAGCAAATCGAAAGTGCTATTCCTCGCAGGAAGGCTAGAAAAATATGAAAAAACACTTTATAAAGTTCAAGTTTGACATTTGCCTAAACTTTCAGTAAAATCTCAATTGGATCACTAAAATTTAATCTAATTTTCAATTTCAATTTCAATTCAGTTTTATCTTATTAGTCTTTCAACTTTTATAAATTGACCCCCTTGTCTATGTTCAAGACTCAACTTTCAGCTTTTTGACTTCTATAAATTGACAAACATATGATTTCCTTCATTCCAAAAATCAATTTCATTCTTTCCTACAAAAATAATATTTCTTTGTTTTCTGCCCTATTCCAAATTTTTTGTTTCAATCCTGAATATTATTTTCTTGCATTTTTCATCCTTCGATTGGAGAAATCAAAATTGGTTCACCGGATCTTGTAATTTGGAATGCTACTATTACGAGTCGATGTTGCTGTATCTTGGAAGATGAGCGTCAAAAGATCGTCAGCATCAATGAGGACATTATCATTTTAAAGAGAAAGAGTCAAATTCTTGCTTTGACCATATTATTTCAACATTATTATTTCGTTAAGATGAAACTTCGTCCAAATTTTCACTTACTGAAAAAGGTTATTTTGGATGTAAATCACGAGAAATTCGTTATATTACATATTATTTTCTCAACTTAATATGCAAAACTAGACAATACAAGACATCTATAACTTTAATTTATATATCCTTAATTTAATTAAAACTTCATAAGTGTTTACTAATCTTCCAGTAAAATCACATTTGGTCGCTAAACTTTAATTGATTTCTCAACTTCAATTCAATTTCAACTTTTCAGCCTTTTAACTTCTATAAATTGAACCCCTTGTCTTTATTTAAGGCACAACTTTTCAACCTTTCAACTTCTATAAATTGATCACACATATGTTGGATTTCCTTCATTCCAAAAATTAATTTCAATTCTCTCCTGCAAAAATAATATTCATTTCCTTTCTGCACTATTTTGAATTTCACATTTCAATCCCGAATATTATTTTCTTGCCCTTTTTGTCCTCCTCCTACGTAGAGAGATCAAAACATTAGTAGGTTCGTCGGGTCTTGTAATTTGAAATCTATTATTACAAGTCGAAGCAGTTGTATCTTGATAGGGGAGTGCTGAAACATCGTCGCCACTAGTGCGAGATATTGTTATCTTAAAGAGAAAGACTCAAACTCTTACTTCAACCATATTATTTCTGCCTAATTACTTTCATTGAGTAACATGAAAATCTATGCAATTTTCACTTACTGAATGCTTGTTTTGAATATAAATTAGTGCACTATAAATTCGTTATATTTTCTATTTTTCCAACATAATATACAAACTCGACGACACAAGACATCTATAGCACGAATTTATATTTCCTTAATTTAAGTAAATTTCATAAGCGATTATTGTTAGAGTTCAACCTCATACCTCATTAAATAAATAGTTTAGACTTCTAGTCACGTACTAACCTTAAGATCGGATGCCAAAGACTTAAGATCAAATCGGACAATAGCCACCATAATTTACAAAGACGCCATGATTCATAATCACTACCATACTGTCCCCACCTTACCAACAATCACTCCAAATGTGACATGTGGCAACCATAAGATCAGTATCTAATTTTCAACCAATTATACATGAACAATAATTATTGAACAGCAGGCCATCGTTACCTGATATCATAGCTACAACATAGGCTCATGATGACCTAATTAGTCAATCTCAGCAACCAATTAGAGAACGAAGATTTGGACGGTGGCACACACTCTTAGGCCAATACTATACTTGAAATGACGCTAGTCAAGCAAGTGGCGTGATCTTCCAACCCATAAATAAGAGCAAATGGTCCCCTCCTAAGAGAGCTATGACTTAGCAATAAACATTCTCTAAACGTCTTTTTTCATAACTATTATCTTGTATTTTGATTCAATTCCAGCAACATTCTAAACAATCTCCTCTAACTTGATCTAATTATGCCACGTCATTTTTATTCATTAACAATTACTAAACTTTCAGTAAAATCTCAATTGCTCCATTGAACTTTAATTTATTTCTCAACTTCGATTTAGTTTCAAGTTTTCAGCCTTTCAACTTCTATAAATTGACCTCCCGTCTCTGTTGAATACACAACTATTCAGCCTTCCAACTTCTATAAATTGACCCGCCCTTATATGTTGGATTTCCTTTATTCCAAAAATCAATTTCAATTCTCTCACGCAAATATTAATATTCCTCTCCTTTATGCTTATTCCAAATTTTGCATTTCAATCCCAAATATTATTTTCTGGCAGTTTTTAGTCCTCCAATTTAAAGAGATCAAAACATTAGTAGTTTCATCAATCTTGTAATTTGGAATGCTACCATTACAAGTCGAGATAATTACATCTTGATAGATGAGCGTTGAAAGATAATCAGCACCAATGCGGGACATTGTCATCTTAAAGAGAAAAAGTCAAACTTTGCTTCGATCACATTATTACTACCTTATTTCTTTCATTGAGTAAGATGAAACTCAATCTAACTTACCGAAAAGGTTATTTTGGATATACATCAGTGCATGATAAATTCGTTATATTACATATTTTTTCCAACATAATATGGAAAACTCGACAATTCAAGACATCTATAACTCGATTGCATATATCCTTAATTTAATTAAAATTAAGTCAAAGTCAACAATTAATTTTAACCACACATTTTATGGGATCCATAATGTTTCAACTACATATTTTAATCAACTTTTTATCAAGATTTACGAAAAAAACTTATTTTATCTTGATAAAACCGGGCCTAAATATGTGAGACCAATATTAATCAGTTGGGTCGTCATTCATATCCTTTAGGAGAATCTAATTCCGAAAATATCCCATATAGATATTCAATTAGTTTCAGACTTCACTTAGAAAGAGTAGTAGCTGTAGGCAAGTCCCTTTTCAAGACAGTTAGGCTATTTAATCTCGATCTGTACACCTGCATACCATTTTTTAAAAAATGTTGAACCTCAATCTTGAGGGTCCCCATCGCTCCGTCACTAGAACTTTGTAAGGGAGGTAAATCTCGGGATGTACCCCAACAAGTCAGGGAACAAGAGCTGTATGTATACTGCGCCTATAAGGAGACCAATTCCATGTCTCAGAAATCGAACCCCGACATTGCGGCTGCCAGCAAGACATGAGATAACCTCACTCCTGTCCTTTGCACCACTGGGCTATGCCCCGGGGGCACCTGCATACCATTTTTTAAAGTTATATATGGTTGTTAGCCTTTATGAATGCAAGATTGATTGATGAAAAATAAATGCACAAAAATTGACCCGAAAAAATGTATATATGAATCTTATATATAAATAAATAAATTGCATATTGCCTTTTATTACGTTAGTTGTAGAAGATAATACATGTCCCCCGGCCGCACCTGGCAAGATCCATCGTCATGATACTTTAGGGGTGAACAAAAATATAGTTAATTTGTTAAATTGAATTGAAATTGCAATTTAAAACCTTTGATTTCAGTCCACGTGAACACATCAACATTTTGGTTCAAAAACGAACCAAGCAGTTAGGAGAAATGGTTGAGTTTAGGTTTCAATATTTAAAAATCATTTGAAACAAGTCGAATCTTTTCATCAATTTAAAATAATAAAATACATATTTTACCTGAAATGTATAATTTTTCAGTTCAATTTATACTTCAATAAATTTACTTGCTCGTCTTCTATTGGCCGTTTAGGGGGAAAATGGTTTATAATGCTAAAAGGAAGAATTTTAGAATCTGAAATTTAATTGTTGAATTCTGTATTATTTTAATGTTTTAAGCTTGTATTTAGACAATAGGAAAATTCTAGTTGTACATAATTATTGTATATAATGGTATCCATAATGTGATTTGGCAATCATCCGATTGTTGATGTGCAATTGTGAAATTTGAATTAAAAGTTGGATCCAGTACCACGTGTAATTATGGACACTATTATGTAGACAATTATGTATATGTAGCACTTCCCTAGACAACAATATCAATATTTAATGTTTATGTTTAGGGGTTTCTATTAAAGTGTCCTATATTTTAGATCAATATATTTATTTTTTATAAAATTGAGAAGGATTTGCAACTATTTACTTCTTTGTATTTGATGCTTTCTTTCAAAAATATTATTTTTATGTTGCTAAAATCGTGGTTTGAAACCAATAGAATCGTAAAATGGTTTGGTTTTGAACATGAAATGGTTTGATTTTCCTATATCGTTTTAATTACTTGGTTTGAAAATTGTTAATAATCGTTTAAACTGAATTGTGTTTACCTCCATCATCTATTACGGCCATATTAGGGATTTAGAATGGATAGAGTTAAGATGTATAGTTAATTTATTGAGTATGGTGTGTAAGACCCGACGTCGTATTACAATAATATATATTTATTTAAAATTAAAAACTTATAACAATGTATTTTTTACTAAGCTACAAAAAAATAAAGTTAATTTTAGTGGATATGTGAATAACTTACTTTTTTTGAGTTTAAACCAAAAAGTTAGTTTGTTTTATAAGTAACTTTATGTTGTCAAATAACTAGCTCATTTTTTACTTTAATCATTACAAAAAGTTATTTGTTTTGACACTTATTTTTGCCCTTTACTTTTAAGTGAAAAACTTTTTAAAATTGAGTTCTAGATTAAAATAAAGATGAGTAACTTACGTCAACTTAGATGA